ATAATTTATAGATCTGTTAATCTCTACATTATTCAGTTTAAATATTGAGTTTAATTTTTGTAGTGATATAAAAAATTAGATGAGGATAAAATGAAGTCAGGCAGGGTAGGGTCTTCATTTTATCAGAAACATACTGGATCTACATCTGTATAATTTTCCATCTTTTTTTTTTCTATCTAAAATACATTCCTGTTTTTCCTTCACCAATTTTAATATTACTCATCCTGTGAGGATAAAGATTTTTGCATTGTTAGGCCTGACTCCATATTGTTAGAATAACAGGAGCTCTGGTACTGTGGTGTCTAAGGCATTTGACTGCTAACCAGAAAGCTGATGGTTCAAACCCACCAATCACTCCTCAGAAGGAAGGTTGGGCAATCTACTTCCCTAGCAATACCACCTCAGAAACCCAAGGAGGGGTCCCTATGAGTTGTGTCCGATCGACAGCACATAACAACAACAATAACAACATCTTAATTAAAAATATGGGGTCTTATTTGTTCTCGCTGTTAGATGCAATTACCAGTTCCTGTTGAATCCTGTATTCTAAGACAGGGCCATCCATGTCAATAAAAGCTCTTGGACTTGACTTTAGGACAGGCTGCCTGGACTTTAACAAACACCAATGGAGCCTCCTAAGGGTTACCTGACTGCCAGGGACTCATAGGCAACATTCCTTTCTTAATTACCCATTGTCCTATTTAACTTTTGGAAAACTGTTAATTAATCCTGCATACGTGGTGTGTCTCTTTTTCCTTTAGCGTAAGAAACTTGATTGGAAGCACTGAGCAGAGCGGGCGTTTTTGGAGTCACTCTCTCTTTGGTACACCTTCTAATTAAAACTCTTTCCTTCTTGAATTCTGGTTTGGACCACTGGCAGCACTGCTCCAGGGCAGGACTCAGCATTTTTCCTTTAAGATTAATTCAAGTTTCAACAATCTCCATGAAGTTGTCTTTACGGATGTCTCTGTTTCCGAGTTTGTACAGCACGTATTCTGTACCATGCCATTTAACCCACAACCATTTATTATTTCTTGTCTTTTTTGTTTGTTTATTGTGATTTATTATTTCTTATTGTCTTATGTGTATTATTTTGCCAAGCTCAGGGAATTGTAAACTTTTAAAATCAGTTCTTGTGTATTTTTATTTCTTACAATCTTCACAGAACCTATTACTCAGCAGGTATTAACAGATCCACTATTTATCTGATCTGAAGATTATCTGGTAGGAAAAAAGCCTTGTGAAAAAGAGATGAGAAAAAAATAGAAGAGTAATAATATGCCACCAGAGCTCCTAAATGTGTATTGTGTATTTCTATGTGACAGTTGCTATTCATAGCACTTTATACTTACTACTGGTAGTTTATTGCTTAAAGCACTTGACTGCTAACCAGAAGGCTGCTGGTTCAAATCCACCCTCTTTGGAAGGAAGGTTGGAAATCTACTTCTGTAGTGATACTGCCTCGGAAACCCAAGGAGGTCACTATGAGTCGGGTCAGACCCGACCGCACATAACAACAACAACAATAACCTTATTTAATACTTACAACAGCCATCTGAGGGACAGCTTGTTATTATGGTCCTTATATAGCTCTGGTAATGTAGTGCCTGAGGCATTTGACTGCTAACCAGAGGGCTGGCAGTTCAAACCCACCAGCCACTCCTCAGAAGGAAGGTTGGGCAATCTACTTCCAGAGTGATATTGCCTCGGCACATAGTGATACTCGATGGCACATAACAACAACAATTTCATGGATGAATAAATGGAGACACAGAGAAAATAAGTGCTTTCCCCCAGTTGTCAGCCCTAGTAGGACCTGGGTGGTGCAAACGGTTAAGTACTCCTTAACTTGAAGATTGGTGGTTTGAAACCACCCAGAGGCACATTGGAAGAAAGGCCTGCCAATCTGCTTCTGAAAGGTTGTTGTTGTTATGTGCCGTGGAGTTGGACCCGACTCATAGCGACCCCTCCTTGGGTTTCCAAGGCAGTACCACTACGGACTTAGATAGCCCAACCTTCTTTCTGAGGAGTGGCTGGTGGGTTTGAACCACCAGCCTTCTGGTTAACAGTCAAGTGCCTTAGGCACTAAGCTACCAGAGCTCCCGCCCTATAGAGGCAGCCTGACTCTGAAACACATGGGCCTTTCCATGAATCAGAATTGACTCAACAGCAACTGGTTTGATTTTGGTTTTAGAAGCCCTAGTAGAGACTGGTGGTGTAGTGCCTAAGGCATTTGACTGCTAACCAGAAGGCTGGTGGATCAAACCTACCAGCCACTTCTTGGAAGGAAGGTTGGGCAATCTACTTCCATAGTGATACTGCCTCAGAAACCCAAGGAAGGGTCACTATGAGTCGGATCTGATTCGATGACAGTGAGTAGTAGAGACAAAACTTAACCCTCTCACAGCTTGACTCTGGAGAGTATACAGCACCACTACATTAGATTCTAATCAAGGTTGGCATAAATAAATAGAAACAACAGTGGTGGAAAGAAAGTGATGTGATGGTCAGTTTAGATTTCTATCTTGCCAAAGATTGTGGTTGTTTCTAAAAAAAATATGGATTTATTATATTGTTTATGTTTAAAGTTTATAATAAATAAGCAAGTCTAAGTCTGGGACAAAGTAGTGAGTATGCCAGACATAGAATGTCAGGATCCATCTATTCTAAAAAGTTCAGCTCCCTTACTTCAAAGGATGTGTTTGAATTGGCATCAAAAAGAACCCTCGCCTGTGGTTGTAACATGTCTCAGAATGTTTTTACAGCTTTACTGCTCTTTATTAAGCAACACATGTTGCTTGGGAGAAAAGACCAGAGCAATGTATTAATTGTACTGCTCCTCTCTCAGTTCACAAGAACACAAAGCTTCACGTGAGGGGAAGGATAGACCAAACATGCTCCCCTTTACAGGAAAACTGGAGTCACCCAGAAAATATGAATCATGTTTGTACTAGCCCCATAAAGAATGATTTTTCTAACAGACATTTAGTCACAGTTTCTATTTTCCTGGGAAGTCAGGGAAGGACAAAATCTTAAACTAAGGTGAATTAACGTGGTTGACTGTTGTTTCCTGTTTGTTCAACTTCTTCTTTTTAGAATTAGAGCCCTTGGAGAAGTTACATATTTTAAATCTTTACTCTTTCCCATCTACTTTAAAGCCACCATGCCAAAAATGTTCTCGAGTTTTAGAGAACATTTTGAAAATTCGGTATTTTTGTGTGTGCTTCTAGAATAGGAAATAGTTGATAAGAAACACTCTGAGTATTCCAATCCTCTTTGGATATTTAGAAAAACAATCATATCTTTACGTTATTTAGAATAGTATTTTTTAAAAAACTTAATTGTTTTAATTAATAATTACTCATAAAAATAAAAAGTTAAAATGAAAACTAATTTGTCTCTGTTGGTGGCCTGGATTGGAAATACCAATATGGGAAAAGCATTCCTTATCTTGAGAAATCCTGTCCTTTTCCTTCTTGTTTCCTGGCTAATTTTATAATTTTGGTTACATAAATTTTAAATAATTGGTATGGCCTAAATACTTTTGTATAACTAGGAATTAGAAATATTTTATGAAAACAAATCTGATTATTAAATTAATAAAATACCATATATGGTAAAATAATTTTATATCTATATTCACTATTTTGTCTAATAAAAATGTGTAATAAAGAGACAATAAACATGATTTGAGGATATGGATGACTAGATGTTAACAAAAAATGAATTGTAATAATAACTTCTATTTTACTAAGTTTGGCCAAAGTTTTGTTTAGAGTTAAATCAAACTGTAGTGTGAGGAGGGGACAGACCTTTACAACATGGATTAGACACAGGAAGCTGATCTCACCATGGCCTAAACCATGGCTACTCTTGTCATCTCTAGGATGGGGATAAGAGTGGATCTCACCCACTCCCCTATGGGAAAGTCGCACAATGAATTAGGTAATTCAAGGAAATAATGGAAAGTTTTAAACATGATTTTGTATATATTTTTTAAAAGGTGAAATATATACCAGTTGATGTCATTATAATTGGTTAAATGCAATGCTAACATGTCATATTGTAGAGGACCTTCAACACTTGTTTGATGAATGAGCTATATTTGTAGGATTCAGGAAATATGATTGATTTATCTTTCATTGTATCTCACAGTTTTCTATTTATATTGAATTTTAAAGTGTAAAATAAAAAGACTCAATATCCATCAAGGCAAATCCCTTAGTTGAACAAAACTATGTTTAAATACCTAGGAATTATTATTTAATGTGGTATAATTTAATTTTTAATAACTAGTATTTTAGAGGGAGCTCTGGTAGTATAGTGCCTAAAGTACTTGACTGCTAACCAGAAGGATGGCGGTTCAAACCCACCAGCCACTCCTCAGAAGGAAGATGGGGCAATTTTTTTCCCATATTTTCTCAACCCTGGATCCATATTAGAATGATTAGTGCCTAAGGCATTTGACTTCTACCAGAAGGCTGGCGATTCAAACCCACCAGCCACTCTTGGAAGGAAGGTTGGGCAATCTACTTCCGATATGGCCTTGGAAACCCAAGGAGCGGCCACTATGAGTCTAATCCACTTGATGGCAGTGAC